TGACTGGGAAGCTCTTTATTTGCCCTTCAATTCTAAATTATATCTTTTCTGGGTACAGTAACCTTGGTAGTAGGTCCTTGCTTTTCATCATTTCAAGTACTTCTTGCTAATCTATTCTAGCCTGCAAAGTTTTTTTGCAGTGAGTGATCTTTGAGTGAGAAATCAGCTGACAGTCTAATTGGAACACTCTTGTAACTGACTAACTGCTTTTCTCTTGCTGCTTTCATGTTTCTCTCTTTATCATTAACTTTTGGCATTTTAATTATGATATGATGGGCCTCTTTGCATCCATATTATTTGGGACTCTCTGTGCTTCCTGGACTTGCATATCTATTTCCTTCACCAAAATTAGGGAAGTTTTCTTTCATTAGTTTTTCAAGTAGATTTCCAATATCTTGCTCTTTTGTCTCCTTCTGGCCCCACTATGATGTGAATATTGGTACCCTTGAAGTTGCCACAGAGGCTCCTTACACTATGTCACTCTTTTGGGTTCTTTTTTCTTCTTGTTGTTCTGATTGGTTGTTTTTTGCTTCCTTATGTTCCAAATAATTTATGTGATTCTTGGCTTCATCCACTCTACTATTGATTCCTTGTAAATTGTTATTTATTTAAATTAATGTATCCTTCATTGACTAGATTTTTTTTTATGCTGTTTAGGTACCCACTAAGTCCCTTGAGCATCCTTATAACCAGTGTTTTCAACTCAGTATATGATAGATTGCTTATTTCCATTTTGTTTAGTTTCTTTCTGGAATTTGCTTCTATTCTTTCATTTGGCTCAGGTGTCTTTGTCTCCTCATTTTGGCAGCCTCCCAGTGTTTGTTTCTATCTATTAAGTAGAGCTGCTATGACTTCCTGTCTGGGTAGTGTGGCCTAATGTAGTAAGTGTCCTGTAGAGTCCAGTGGCACAGCCTACCCTATCACCCAAGCTGGGTACTCAAGGTGCGCCCTCCGTGTGGGCTGAATTACACCCTCCTCTTGAAGTTGAGCTTTAATTGTTTTTGGCAGGTCAATGGGAGGGATTTACCCAGGCCACTTAGCTGCAACGACAGGCTGTGACCACTGGTCACCAATCTGTTCCTTCCATGGCTTGTGGAGGTTGTAGGATGGTGGTGCTCCAATATGGTCTGTAGCTGTCCTCTGGGGTTTCCTGGGTACTGCCGGTTAAAGTTATCCCCCACTTGTGTTTGCCTGGGGCCACTTAGCATAAGCTATAAAGTGATTTGCAGATGGCTGCTATTTGTGCTGGGCTTGGAGGTGCCCAAACAAGGCCAGAGTGTGACACAAGGCCATCTGCTCCTAGTACCAGGCCTGGGAACACTTAGAAAAAGCTGTGGGGCCTGTGTTTCCTGTGGCCAGCTGTAGGTTGTTTGAAAGGATTTAGGAAGATCTGAAGCATGAGTCAAGACAAGCCTTTCATATGGAAAAAACCACTAACAGTTTGGGTGGGCCTGTAAGTTGGGTGGGACAGAGCCTCTGGGAATCAGCAGGGTGGGGCAAACCATGTGAGCTAGGTTGATGAAGTCTCAGACACGTGCTATCACTCTATGGCTATGTTGGGGGGAGGGCTCAGAAAATGAACAGTGGCCTCTGCCAGCAGTTCTGTCTGGGATAAAGCTGTCCCCCAGCTTGCGTCCTGATGCCAGACACTTTAGTTCCTCCCCATATGCCACTGGTGCCCTTCAAGTTGCTGCCTGGTGCTGGAGCCCAGAGGGAGTTAGTCTGAGTAAATCTGTGTGCGGGATCTTTAAGAAGAAACACCTGGGACTCCAGAAGTTTCTTCCACCAACCCAATCCCCTCTGGTTTTTACAACTCCTCCTGGCACTGGAACCTTAGACTGGGGGCTCTGGTGTGGGGCTAGGACCCCTCACTCCCAAGATATTCTTCCCAAATTTTTATTCAACACTCATGGATATGGGACCAGCCCTTTCCACATCTCTGTGTCTCCAGGTCTCCACCCCTCCTACCAGTCTGAATGAATGTGGTCTCTTCTTTAATTCTATATTGTCAGTCTTCCATTCAGCTTCATTTTCTGATGCTTCTGAGTGATGGATGTACTAAAGTTTAGTTGTAATTTTGATATGGCTTTGCAAGGAGGATAGCCATGATTACCTAAGCCTCCATCTTGACCTGAAGTCCCTTCAATTAATTTTTGAAGATTAAATTATTCAGAGTATGCTTAATGACACAGTGGAATTGGACTAGAAACCAATTAAAAATTATAAGTTGGACAAAGAAAGACAAATACCATATGATTTCACTTATGTCTGGAATTTAAAGAACAAAGTAAATGAACAAATAAAACAAATAGAATTATAGAAACAGAGAACAAATTGATGGTTTCCAGATGGGAGCGGGGTTGGGAGGCTAGGTAAAAAAAGGTGAAGGGATTAAGAAGTACAAAGTGGTAGTTACAAAAAAGTCATGGTGAGTAAAGTGGAGCATAGAGATATAGTCAATAATATTGACATCACTATCACACAGACACTAGACTTATCGGGGGAAGCACTCTGTAAATTATATAAATGTCTGACCACTATACTGTACACCTCTAACTAATATAAAATGAGGTTGAATATCAACTATAATTAAAAATAAAAATTCAAAAATATATTAAATGAAAAAAAGCAAATGAATAGGTAGGCAAACCAACAGTCTGGAAAAACTAATCTCAAAGCACAGGTCTAACAAAAGATTTGTATCCAGAATATATAAAATATACCTAGAACTTAATGAAAAAAAAGACAATCTGTTTTTAAGACAACCCATTATTTTAAAGAAGGAGTATAAGAAATAAAAATTAAATGCAATGAAGGATCCTTGATAGAATAAGGCAACAGAAAAGGAACATTACTAGAGAAACTAGTGTATTTGAATAACATCTAGTTTAGTTAACAGTGTTGTGTCAATGTTAATTTCCCAATTTTGCTAATAGTACTATAGCTCTATATGATGTTAATATTAGAAGAAGCTAGATGAGGCATATAAGGCAACTCTGTACTATTTTTGCAACTTTTCTCTAAGCCTAAAATTACTTCAAAATAAAATATTTTATTTTTTTAATTATAACTAGAAAATTGTCATAGTTTGGAAATTAAATATATTAAAGTGAATTCAATTATAACATCATTATAATTCACAATTCATAAAGCTTTCTTTAGTGGGTGAAGGAGGATGGAGTTATAGAATGATTGAGGAATTACTAGAAACTTGGAAACTTGGAGTCCCTTGTAACCACCCCATAACTAGTAAGCCAGAAGTCTCTATAGGAGTATTGGTTCAATATTTAATACATATATATTGAGACTCTTTCATGGGTAAGGCAATGTCCTAGCTGCTGAAAAGATAAAGCCTTTATTATTAGTAGGTTAATTTCAAACACAAGATAATTTGATAGTTTCTGGTCTGTGAGAAAAATAAATAAAACAAAACTGGGTATTAGGAAAGAGTAACTATGGAAAGAAAGGGATATTACTTCAGATAACTTTGCCCATGAAGGCCTTTTGAAGTACTAATGTGTCCTCAGTACCAAAACAATCCTGCCATAGCACCTAAGTAAATGACATCCTACATGGCAGGATCAACAGTGTGCAAACTCTCAGCATGTCTAGGGATTGTGTGTTCAGAACATTATATGAGACTTAAAGGATTAGGTAAGAGAGAGTACGTCATCTTGTGGGCTACAATACACTGCATCCACTAGAGATATTTATTGGTTTAAGCCATCCAAGAAGTTTTTATTTATTAATATTCATGTCCACTAGAGATATTAAGGCAGGAAAAAAGTTTACATTTTAAATGATCACTCAAATGTTTGGAGTTTCCGTAATGAAGTGTTAGGCCAGTTAGGAACCTATGCCCTATTCCATGGCATGCAGTGTGGTGAATTTCTGCATGGCAGCCCCAGGTGGAGCATCTCAACATGCATGGTATGAAGAAAAATCGTTGATGACATTTCATCTATGAAAAAGCCAATATTTTTGGTGGCTATAAGTACTAAATTTTCCATGTACTTTTATTTGAGAGTTTCTTCCAATTTGACCTGTAAAATATGTTTAATATTAACAAATTAAGTACATATATAATGTAAAAATATTGACATATTTCTTCTCCTACATGATTATTGGGAAGCTATAAATACATAGCCATTTCAGAAAGAGAGATAAACTACATAATCAAGTAACCAAAGGCAAGAAAGATATTTTTAAGTAGGAGCTATAACTGTATGTTATTGGCAATTGTCAACTGCAGCAGATGAATCTCAGAATTGCAATGAAAGCTTGTTTGTTTCTTAAATATTTTTAAGAGAATTAACTTAAACAATCCAACAACAGAAGTACCAGCACATACAAAGACAGAGAAAGCGTTTGTTAAGCAGCATAGCAAAGTCTGATATTCATTTAGAAGGCAATATCACTCTATGGAAAATTTTACGCTACAGAAAATTAATTCAATTTATCCTTTTATTAAATAAGTTTTTAATGACTCACTAGATGTTTTAGTTTTCATAGAATTAAGGTGCTACTCATAAATAATTAAAAACCAAAAACAAACAAAAGAAATTGTATTTTTTATAAGACCAAAGTGAAATAAATCTCAACTAGATTCTTCATTCCTTTAAAACTTATTTACCACTGATACGGGAAAATCAAAGTCTCTTCTTTTAAGAAATATTTTTCACATAAAAAAGCAGTCTAACAAATGTATAATTAGGTACTTTATAGAGAAACCTAGGTAAACTTTTAACAAATATATGTTAGGGTAATTAATTTAAAAATTTTTAAAGAGTTAACATTTTAAACTTAATTACCACATAAAAAATAAACAAATTTTTCTTCATTATTTGAGTCATCTGATCATTCAGTCAGAAACATATTGTTTTTTTAAAAGGCCAGTTTTGAAGAAACTATCTTTTTAAATAGATATAGTATTGTATGCTGCTTAAACTAGGAAAGTATCTAGTCAGAGAATGGTGGATATACTATACTTTAATTCCTACCTGGGTAAAGAAGGGTTCATAAATCTCAACTCCTTTATCAGATCCCTGTAGTAACACCTCCTGGCCACGTCTCCAGCTGTACCGAACAGGTGGATTGGAATTGGCAACACACCTGAGGAATACTGTTCTCTCGTAGTAAAACTGTTCTTTAGCTTCACCTATACTTTGATGAACAGTTACTACAGGATCATCCAAATCTAGAAAAAAATAAAAACAACAAAGTGACAATGTTATGAGTTACATTGCTTTTGAAGCATGTGCATTTAAAAACTAACCATAGATGCATACTCTTAATGATTTTATTGCCTATCACAATATTCATTTTATATTGTTTACTGAACTTATTTACAGAGAAATTTCCAATGATAGAAGGTAAAGGCAAGTAATTTCTCCAGATCTCTAGTTGTTGATATAGTACAAATGACCTTGCATATTTACAACACTTTGCCAACCGCCACATCAAACAGAGCTCCAAGTGAGATATCAGAATTCAAAATTCTCAAAATCAAGAGATTCATTAAAACAACAAACCACAGTGACAGAGAAATAAATATCAAGAGGCTCAGTTGATTTTTTCACTTAACATACTTCTTCCAATTATTTATAACTGGTGTATTAAAATAATCAAATAATTATGTTTATAAGTTATTATATTTATAGCAAGAAAATGTGACCATATACTGACTTAAATTTTTCCTTCATTTCAGGTTTTATATCCCAGACCACATTTGCTAATTTGAAATCTGCTAACAGAAGGTACTATTAAAAGACAAATACCATATGATCTCACCTATAAGTGGAACCTAACCAACAATACAAAGATGCAAGGAAAATAAGACCAGCAACACTGAAAGGAAAAGAAATCAAGAGAGACAAGAGGGAAGGAGGGAGGGGGGGGCGGGGAAAAGGAAGGGAAGGGGAAAGTCAAGGAACATATAGCAAGGACTCATGGACAAAACCAAAGGGGAAGAGCTGAGGGAGGGAGGGAGGGAGGGGGCAAGGGAAAGTGGTGGGGGTAGGCAGAGACAAATGTATTTGAAAAAATAAATTAAAATAAAATTTTAAAAAAAGGGAGGGGTAAATCTCATATTGCGTTATTATAATAAAATTTTTAAAACTTAAAAAAAGGCATTAATGTTTCTATTTCTGAATATTGGAACTAAGTGTTTGAATAAGGGATGTATACTACAGAGCTTAGCAAACATTTTCTGGAAAAACCAATGCGTAAGTATCTTGGCTTTGGTGGGTCCCACAGTCTTTGCTCAACTATTCAACTTTATCATTGTAGTGTGAAAGCAGCCAAAGACAATATAGTCGAAGTGAATGAAAGATGAATGTTGCTGAGTTCCAATGAAACTTTATTTACAAATGCAAGTGTCGCAGCCAGATTTGGCCCATGGGCTATTGTCTGTCATAGATTGCCAACTCCTGATATACCATGGCCCAGGTTCTTTTCTTAAGAGAAAAAGAAATTAAGAAGTGTACTTGCTTTAAAACAACAATTTTATTGCATATTTAAAAGTTGCAAAGAAAGTAAATCTTAAAAGTTCTCATCACAAGAGCAATAAAATTGTAACAGTGTATGGTGATGGATGATCATTTACTGGGATGATCATTTCACAGTACATACCAATAGTGAATTATTATGTTATACATCTGAAATTAATATGTTATATATCATCACTTATATCTCAATAAAAAAATGGGGAAAATAAAACAAGAGCTCCTGGTTCCATGTGCTAATAAACTTCATCTATACTTGTTAAGAGTGATGCAAAAATTTTTGCTCTAATTACATATTTAATTTCATTGAGCTTTGCTCCTTAAGCTTTACAACTTTAAAAGGTAATTTAACCTTTGTGGTCTTAAATTTCTTTACCAATTAAATGGAAATAATCATGATACATATTCACAGAGTTTTGGAGATGTAATGAGACAGCCCATAAAGACTTGGCTCATGGTAAGTGCTCAATAAAAGTGAGTTATTATTATTGTTAAATAGGATTTCATTTACACTCCCATTAATTCTTTGTTGTTTTTATACCTTTATCTCAGCAATTCATAATGCACTTACATTTTAAATAGGTAAATGTCACTTTCCCATTTTCTCAGGCTATCAAATGTTTCTACATGACCAGCATTTTTATGTGGAATCTGAAAAGAAGCTATCATATTTATAAAAACATATGAATAGTGGTGTGTGGGCATATGCTACCCTGAATATTTAAAAGACATCCTTCCCTAGAAAAGATTCTTTTTGATATATTAAAATAATTGAAAACCAGTAAAACTAGTAAAGTAATAGCTACCCTAAGGAATCAAAATAAAAAGCAGAATCCTAAATTTCCCCAGTTTAAAAAAAAAGTTTTCAAATGTGAATTGCTAGACAGTTCTACCTTGTATAAATTTAAAGAACAACTGCTGCTTTTCAGTAATTTTTAGGACCTTTCTGTTTAAATTTACTCTATTAGCTGTACAGTGATACATGCTGTTTGGTTTAAATAAATTGGAGTACTTAGGGATGCTAGCATTATCATGAAAAGTGTACAGGTATTTAAACGATATCAAATCCTACAGAAGACTGATTACCTGAATTCAGCCTTAGTGACTTGAAAACTAATGTAAACAATTTATGTTGTGATTAATTATAGACAGTTTTCCTTGAACAATTGCTGTCGGTCATAATCTCATTTTTATAAAATGAGCTGTATTATGTTGAAAGAAAATTCTGAAGCCAGAAAGTTTAGAAACAAAACAGTTGGATGGTAAACAGTATAACAATGTCGGTGCTCTCCTTGGGTTTTACATAGTTAATAACATTTTAATTGCCTGCATTTATTTATTGATGCATCTCTAGATCTTTCCTTACTGGTGGCAGTGACAAAAAGTTAAGTTACAAATACACAAAACCTGAACAATTGTTTAAATGTGCTCTTGCCTGATTTGGGTAATTTTTGGATCACTGGCCATCAGAGAATCTAATCCTGTGACAACAGATCTTAATGACCGTTGCATTGGCAGGATCATTTATTGGATTCACCAATGTTCAAGAATTCCTACTTTACAAAAATCCTAAGTCCTTTTTTTAAAGGACTTTTTTAAATAAATATGCCAAAAACAAGGTATTGTTTATTTTTATTATTTTTATTTGTATCCTTACCTCAGGACATGTTCATTGATTTTAGAGAGAGGGGAAGGGAGGAAGAGAGAGAGGAAGGGTGTGGGAGAGAGAGAAACATCAGGGTGAGAGAGAAATATTGATTGGTTGTCTCTTGTATGAACCCATAACCTAGCATGTACCCTAACCAGGAATCAAACCTGTGACTTTTCAGTTTACAGGAGGATGCTCCAATCAACTGAGCCACACAAGCCAGGGCAAAAAACAAGGCATCTTTTAGGTAAGTCAAATAATGGCATGGCTAAAATATATACTTTAAGTGCGATTTATATACATATATATGTGATATACAGTTTAAACAGCATATACAAATATATCACTTAAAATATATTTAACATATACCCTCTATATAACTGAATGCACACTGAATATGTGAATTTGCCTTCAGTCAAGTTTTTTGGAAAAAAGCCTCTAAGCCAGTACTATCTGTGCAGAAACTGTACAGGTATACTTCAGAGATACAGTGCGTTCAGTTCTAGGACACCACAATAAAGCAAGTATCATAATAAGGGGAATTATACTATTTTTTTTGTCAGGGCATCTAAAAGTTACATTTACACTACACTGTAGTCCAACAGTTTTGAACCTTTTTCACCTCATGGCACACATAAACTAATTAATAAAATTCTACAGCATACCAAAAAATATATTTTTTTGCCAATGTGACAAAAAATAAGTATAATGTTGATTCATTTACATTGGATGGCTATTGTTGTGTTGGCTGTTGTCATTTTTTTATTTGACAGTCAAAGGGAAAAGAGATCAGTACCCCTGACTATATAGTCAAGTATTGCATGTTTTCAAAATTCTTATGGTACCAGTTGAAAATTGCTGCAATAGTCTATTACATGAGTAATAACGTTATGTCTAAAAAAATTTTAAACTTAATTAAAAGTACTTTATTGTTTAAAAATGTTAACCATCATGTGAGCCTTCAGTGAGTTATATTCTTTTTGCTGGCAAAGGATCTTACCTCAATGTTGATAGCTTCTGAGTGATCAGGGTGGTAGTGCTGAAGACTAGGATAGCTGTAGTAGTTTCTTAAAGTAAGACAATGAAGTTTGCCTCATTAGTTGACTTTCTTTCATGAATGATTTCTCTGCAGCATGCAATGCTGTTTAATATCATTTTACTGACAGGAGAACTTTTCAAAATTGGAGTCAGTCCTCTTAAACTCTGCCACCAATTTATTAACTAAATTTAAGCAATATTCTATATTTTTATTATAATTTCAACAATCTTTACAGCATCTTAAATTGGAGTACATTCCATCTCAAGAAATGACTTTTTTTGCTCATCCATAATAAACAATTCCTCATCCATTCAAGTTTTATTATGAAACTGCAATTTAGTCACATCTTCAGACTTCACTTTTAATTCTAGTTCTCTTGCTATTTCTACTACATCTGCAGTTACTTCCTGCATTGAAATCTTGAACCCCTCGAAGCCCCCATGAGGTTGGAAACAATCTCTTCTAAATGCATGTTAATGTTGATATTTTGACATCTTCCCATGAATCAGAAAATTCCTTAATGTTATCTAGAACAGTGAATCTTTTCCAGAAAGTTTTAATTTTTCTTTTGCACATATCCATCAAGTAATTACTATCTAAGGCAGCTAGAGTCTTACAAAAGGAATATCTTAAATAATATTTGAAAATCAAAATTACTCCTTGATCCATGGGTTACAGAATGGATGCTGTATTAGCAGGCAGGAGAACAACATCAATCTTCTACATCTCCATTAGAACTCTTGGGTGACCTGCTGTATTGTCAATGAGAAGAAACATTTTGAAAAAAATAATTTTTCTGAGCAGTAGGTCTCAACAGTGGGCTAAAAATATTCAGTAAACCATGTTGTAAACAGATGTGCTGTCATCCTGGTTTTGTTATTCCATTTATAGAGCACAGGCAGAGTAGATGTAGCATAATTCTTAAGTGCCCTAGGATTATCAGAGTATTAAAATAGGATTGGCTTCAACTTGAAGTTACCAGCTGCATTAGCCCCTAGGAAGAGAGT